ACCCCCCGTCACCGCTCCCGCTCCACCACTCCACACGCAAACACGCCCGACAACGGCGGGCGCATTCTTCGGCTTCCAACTCGGTACCGCTAGTCCCTATTTCGTGGCGCGCACCGTGCGTCCGCCGGGCAGACGCTCGTGCAACAACAATCGTTAGCCAACGGTCTTCTCTCGGACGCCGACTTCTGACTCACTTCCCAGCCAGACCCACCGACAGTGAGGAGGCGAGTCAGAGTCTGCGACAACGGCAGCACAGCCAATAGAAGCTTGCCGAGTGGCACTCCCCACCCCTCTCTCCCCAACCGTCACTTCCACCCTGGCCACCGCAAAATGGACACGCTCCCGTCGGACGTGACGCTGGTCTGCGGCGCGGTGGTGTTGGCGGTGTGGGCTGGGGCAGGCGCATTGGCTTTTGTCTCGGACACCACGTCTGTGGTGGATGAACAGGCCAAGGCGATCCGATCGTCAGCGGTCGAGGCCGCACAGCAGAACAAGGCTGCAGCAGCGAGCGCCAGAGACGGCGGCGACGACGCCCACCACGGCCCGGACAAGAACAAGTGGCGCAAGTGGATCCGCCGGTACCGATGGGCCTTGCTCTCACTGACGCTCTTCTGGGAGTTCCTCCAGCTCTTTCAGCTCACCTTTACCGGCTCTGTTCCCTGGCCGCAGCCGATCAAGGACGTCCTTGCCGTCTTTGTAGTCGCCGTCAAGGGCCGCCTCGCCGTCATCATGTTTCTGGTCACTTCGGGCATCACCCTCCTGGCGCTCGGCATCTTTGCCCTCCTCGAGCACCGCATGATCCTGCGTTGGCTGAGGTGCTCGCGCTGCTGCGGGTCCTCACCTCACGCATCCGGTGACGACGATGACAGGCCCCACAAGGCGTACGAGCCGTCGCCGCCGCACGCGGCTGCAACGCCGGCGCTCACCCCGGCTTCGCCATCTACAGGCAGTGCAAGCGGCCGAGGCAAGGCAAATGGCAAGGGCAAGGCCCAGGACAAGCCCAGGCCCAGGCCCAGGTCCAAGTCCGAGGCCAAGGGCAAGGTCAAAGGCAAGGCACCGGCCCCACCGTCGGTTGCCAAGGCCAAAGGCAACCGCGTCGTCTCGCAGTCGCTGCCGCCGCTCGACAAACGGCGGCTTGCGGCAAAAGCTAGCGGCAGCGGCAGCGGACGCGGCTCGCGGCGCAAGTCCAAAGTTGCGATCGAACAACAAGAGTCGGCCTGCTTCGCGGCCTCGGCTCCTTTGTCAGAGAGTGAGCAGATCGAAGACGTCGACTTGCTCAACGAGGGCGGCTCCGACGATGCGTCCACCCGATCGGCGTCGATCGAGTCGGACGACCTCGTAGAAATCGGCGATGCGGTCATGCTTGCCAAGAACCGCCGGCCCGGCGCCATCCGCAAGCTCCGAGCATGGTGGCACAAGTGGCGCATCATTGTGTACGAGGTCTTTGGCACGCTCCTTCTCGACATCATGTTGATGCCGTCGTCGCGACTCGCGCTCGAGATGGTCTCCTGCCGGAAAAGCATCCTTGACTCGCCTTCGCTCAACTCGTGGCCTGAGATGCGGTGCTGGGAAGGGCCGCAGCTCGGCTACGCCGTTGGGGCCATGGCCTCATATTCAATCATGTACATGGCGGCGCTCAAGTTCTCGCTGGCCGGGAACGACCTCAATCCTGAGTTTCAGTACCTCCCACGGTTCAACGTGGCGCTAATTATGGCCGAACTGTACTTTGTCATCCTCACCACTATCTTCAAGGGCCTCTCGTGGGCCATTGTCTCGGGCGTCACACTCGGCCTCATCCTGCTTCTCACTTCGAATATTATGCTCCAGCCTTGCCTCGGCGAGGGCTCCGTTTCCAACCATTGGCGGTCGGCATCCTTTGCTGGATGTCTCCTCGCCGCACTCTGCTCGATTGTGCAGCGGTTGATCAACAACGACGATTCCTACGTCGTCTTTTTTGTCATGTGCGTTCTCTTTCTCCCGGTCACCATCTCGGCGCTGCTCTTCTCGCGCTACTGGGCCCGCCGCATTGTCCGCAACCTCTTGGTCAACCTCTCCAAGCTCGACCCCGACTCACACGTCGCCGATGCCGCCACTGCCCTCAACGGCGTGGCCAACCTCGCACTCGCGCCTGAGATGCGCAGCCTCGTCCTCGCCGACGATGGAGCGCTCATCCCCAACATGGCCCACATGCTCGCCATGGGCTCGCCTGACGTCTCACGCGCCTCGCTCCGCGTCATCTCCAACCTTGCCATGGACCCGATTGGCATGCGCCTCTTTGCCCGCTCGTCGGTTGTCCGCGGCATCATCGGCGTCCTCGAGCTTGCCAACCGCCAGTTGAGGGCTGCACCCGGCGGGCCGGCCGCGGCGCGTTCCCGCGCCCGCACCCTCGGCGCTCGCCGCACTCGCCGAGTCAGACCCGGCGCCGTGCCACCATCGTCGTCGTCGTCACCGGCCACCATCGCAGACTCGGCCGCTCTTCTTGGCTCGGTACGTGAAGTCACCGATCTTGCCATCATGGCCATGCGTACCCTGACCAAGCTTGCCTCGGTCCCGCGCGTCAACGAGCACATGGTCGAGGACGGTGCCCACCGCATCGCGTCCAGCATCGTCCGCTCGCGCTACCATGTCGAGCACGGCCGCGTCCAGCTCGTCATTGTCGCCGTCCGGCTCATCACTCAGATTGGCTACATCGTCATCGACAAGCCCGCCATCATCAAGACCGACGCCAAGAACGTACTCCGCCTCGCCCGCGCCTACGGCAAGGCCCATCCCAATCTCACCCGTGCCGCCGTCATGTTCCTCACCGTTCTCGCAGCAAAGGGCCCCGAGGCCAACCGCCTCGAGCTCGGCAAGTACGGAGCCGTCGAGGACGCTCTTGCCATCATGCATCGCACCACCTCGGCTGAGACCACTCGCTACGCCCTCCTCGCCATCGCCAACCTCTGTTCTACGCCCGCAAACCGCACTCGCATCCGCAGGGTCTACCTCAACGAGATCCTCTCTTACACCCACTCGCCGCTCGCCATGGTCCGCCACCCTGCGGCAAAGCTCTGCGATCTCCTCGGCCTCGCCCATGACGTTCCACACTCTGACTACCGCAAGCCGCACCCCGGCGCTGCCGCGCCGTCCTCGTCGTCCTCTTCCTCGTCATCGTCGTCGTCGTCCTCGTCATCGTCACTCCTCTCGCACTCGTCGTCGGCCGCCTCGTGCTCCCGCTCCGGAAAGCTCTCGCGCCGGACGTCACGTGCTGACTCGACCGCCTCGCGAAAGTCCTCCGCCACCGGCCTTGGCTCGGGCTCTCGCCGCGGCTCGCGCCGTCGCTCTGCAGTTGGCAAGCCGTCGCCGCTCACTACGCCTGGATCCGGGCCCGGGCCCGGGCACCGTCGCTCCCGCGGGCGTGGCCGCGGTCGTGGGCGGGGAAAGTAAAGCACCATGGCATCCATGGTTGCAGGCGCATATTCTTGGTGGGAGCTGCCACGAGGCAAGTCATGTGTGCCGCCCATTCTGGCGTTTCGCAATTTTTGTCTCTCGTTTTTTTTCTCTCCTGGCCATTTGCCCGACACTCAGCCGCCAAACTTTCTGCGGCGGGCCGCGAGCCACTTTGCAGCGACAGCCGGAGACGACCACGAGGTCCCGGAGCGGGGTTGAGACGAGCACTCAACGCAGATCTCGGGGAGTAGGTACAAGTAGTTGTACACTCTACCCGCAGCATCCTCGCGCCTTCCCTCTGCATCTTTTAGCGACTCTCTAGCGGCCGGAAGGCGGCACCACGTCGGCCACCACTTATTGCGCTGCGTCCCCCATCACAGCCCCACAGCCCACGCCGGACGCTTCTGGGCCCAATCAGCAAGCAGCGAGACCGGGAATTGGAAAGCAGTAGACAAAGCGCGTGTGTGCAAGCTGCGGAAGTATCCAAGTATGGATGGAGAACTGAGCGCCGCGAGCGATACGCTCCTGGCAAGGTTTGGGCGCGCACTCGAGGTTGTGCTCGACGAGCCGCAGCGAGAGCTGGACAAGTGCAACGTGTTTGTCAAGTACCTGCCCAACGACGTCGACGACGATGTGCTGCACGCGCTGTTTGCCGGCTTTGGCGACATCGCGTCGTGCAAGGTCATGGTCGACCTTGACTCGGGCAAGTCGCTCGGCTACGGCTTTGTTCGATTTGTTCTGCCGGATGCTGCTGCCACCGCCGTCGATGCTATGTCAGGCCATCGCATCTCCAACAAGCGGTTGCTGTGCAAGCTCTCGCACTACAACCCACCCAAGGACAAACCTGCGGTGGCGCAGGATGCCGTTGTCCTCTCGCCGCTCATCGGCTCCGTCGACGCCGGCGCGCTCAAGGCTTTGCTTTGCAGATTCGGCACTATTATCCACGCCAAGGTCATCGGCAAGAAAAAGGGAAACCCACGCCGTGGGGTTGTTCAATTCACTGGGCCGGACGCGGCGAGTGGTGCGGTCAAGGCATTGGACGGCAAGTCCGTGGCCGGCTTCTCGGCGTCAAATCTCACCGTCGCACTTGCAGAGGCGTCCCTGGTGCCCGGGACCAAGGCTGCGAGCGGCGGCGGGGCACTCAGCCGGACATCGCGCAAATGCAAGGACGCCGCCATCCTTGTCCGCCAGTTTTACGCCCACACCATCCGGCTGGTTCGCGACGGCGCGCTGCACACGCCATTGGCCCCTGTCTCCGACTATGTATCGCCGGGCACGCCCGATCCGGATCCCAAGTCTCTGGCGGGCATTGCTTCATTTCCGGAGTTGGATGGGTTCGACGCTGTGGCGCCGCTTGCCCTTCCGCTCTCGGGCGTGCTCATGGTTGTCGCCCCGCTGCATCCGCACATGGACGCCGCCGTGCTTTACGCCATGCTGGCACCGTTTGGCCTCCTTGCAGCATCGACGATTGCGCCGCTCACGCCCGACGCAGCTGCCGCGGTCAACCTGACGCCCGATGTCGGCTCGAGCAACGCGCGAATGGCGGTTGCCGTGTTCCATGCCCCGGCGGCGGCGGCCGCCGCCACCGTCGCCCTTCACGGCTACCGTCAGGGGCGAACGATTCTCTCGGCCGCCGTGCCTGACGTGCAAACAGCGACAAGCCTAGCGGCGGGTACTATCGCAGCCGTCGCCGAAGCGGCGAGCAGCGGAGGCGGAGGCGGAGGTGGCGGGGGCGGAAAGGCGCGGTCGCGGCGGCGGCGCGGAAGGCGGCGGCGCGGGCGCAACCACAGCTCGGAAGCCGGATCGCCCGAGCCGTCCCCACTCACGCCGCCGGCAACAGCCACCGCGATGACTGCATCGACAGTTGCGCCATCGGCGACGGCGGCCGCACCAGCGGTGAGCGACTTTGCCTCGTTCGCGCCACAGGCGTGCTTCCCGCCGCCGCCACAGTCGGGTATGGCTGCGGGGGTGGGCGGAGGAACGAGAGCGGGCAGCTCGAGCATCTTTCCGGACCTGGGCACAGGCGGGACGTGGGCACCCCCATCGCACGGCCTATCACCGCTGCTGTACTCGGGCAACCCGCTGCTGGTGCCGCTGGACGTCGATGCGCTGGCGTCGGGCCCGTCGGGCCCGTCCGGCGGGCCGGCCATGGGAGCCGCCGGCAGACAGCCCGTGCTCTCCCGATACGCGCCCGCGGCGCAGCACAACCGGCGCAGCTAGGCGCGGGCCTGCTTCTTGCGCAGAATGGCGAGGGCCGAGATGACAGCAGCGCGCTTGGCAGTGCGCTTCGAAGTGTCGACAGCCATGGCCACGTACTTGTCGTCGACAAAGACCTTGACCTTGGTGGCACCCGACTCGGCGTCGCGCGAGTATTGAAAGCGAGGCGGAGCCTTGGTTGTCGAGATGACCAAGTTGTTGAGGAGGGTGACCGGGTCGACGTGCTCCGGCCGCTCGTACAGCTCGTCAACCAGGAGCGGGAGCACCTTGTGCGAGACAAACTCGTTGGCCTTTTCCATGCCCGAGTCGACAAAGACAGCGCCCACAAAGGCCTCGAGGGTGTTGGCTTTGAGTTTGAGCAGGCCATGTTCACGATTGGTGTTGGCGGCAAGCGCCTCGGCAGCTGAGCCGCCGTCGTCGTCGGCGGTGGCGGGCGCACCAAGAAACGACGGCGCGACAAGCATGAGATCGGTGAGCGACAGTGCATCCGCCGCCGATGCCAGCACCTCGTTGGAGCGCATAAAGTTGCGGAACTGGGTGATGGTGCCTGCAGGCGCATGCGGCGCGAAAAAGTACAGATACGACGAGAGCATGAGGTCGAGGACCGAGTCGCCCAGAGCCTCCAGTCGGCGGTTGGAGAGCCGGCGGACGTTGCGCGGGTAGGCCGTGAGCGGCGCGAGATACGACTGGTGGACAAAGGCCTGTGTCGCAACCTTGCCGTCGCCAAACTCGACGCCCAGCTCACGGCAGAGCTCAATGCGCCGCGCGTGGAAGCCCGGAGGGAGGACCACCTGATCGGCCTCCCACTGCGCCAGCTGCCACGGGCGCTTCACCGGCCGCCACGGCTCCTTGAGGAGGACAGGCACCGTATCAAAGAGCTCGGCATTTCTCAGCGGCTTGTCATCTGCGCACCACGCCCATGCAGCGCCACACCCAAGACCCATCGCGGTGTCTGGTAGTGAGTCTCTGTGCCTTTCGCCATGCCGGCGGGGCGAACCGCGACCCTTTCGGCTTTGGTCGGATCATCCCACGAAGAGGGTGAACGGGATAAGGAGGGGGGGGGGGAGGGGAGGGGAAGCGGGAGTGAGCGGCGCACTTGCTTACCTTCGTGTTTGGCGAGGTACTGTTCTTGCAAGTCGAGCTGGTCGTCGGTGTGGTTGGGGAGGTGGGGCGCGGCTATGGTGGAGAGCATCGCCATGCCTCGCTGGCTGCCACACAGTGCGGCGCGGGCAAACCTCAGCATTGGACGACAAGTGGTGGCATGCAGTTGTTCATGTTCTCTCACGGACGCCAAGATGACGAGCCGGCGCGCGAGAGCGCCGAGGTCGTGGGCGATGCGAGGCTGGACGAAGACGGCGACCTGGAGGCGTGCTTCTTGGCATCGCGCTTGAGTGCCGACGCGCGCATCCGCGCCAGCCACGCTGTTGATGCACGCTTGACAAGCCCGCGAGTCTGGACAACGCTGGCGAGCGGGGCTGGGCGCGAGTCGGGCGTGTGGCGCGTCGTCGGTGGCGGGTTGGACTTGGGCGGGGGAGTAGATTGCGCCAGCGAAGGCATGGATGGGGCCTCGATCAACGAGCTGGTTGTGGCCGTCAGCGTCGCGTTCGAGAGCGAGATCGAATTGTAGAGACCTGGTGACGAGAGACCTGCATCCTCGCGGGCCTGGGCGGTTACTGCGGCCTTGAGGGTCTTGATCAGCTTGCGCTGCTGGGCGATGCGGGCTTGTGCGGCCTGATATGAGGTACGGAGCTCGGCGTGCTCAGCATTGGTCACTGACTGCGTACGGTAGTCCCGGAGCGTCTCTTCCAGCGCGTCGATCCACTGCTGCAGGACGCCTGCTTGTTCGCGGATCCACAGATGCTGCCGTTGCAGCGCCTGCAGCTGACGAAAGTCAAGGCCGTCGAGCACCAGGTCGCGCGGGAGCGAGATGACCGGCGATGCAGCGGCAGCGGTAAAGGTCGCCACCTCACGGATGGTGTCCTGCAGGCTGACGGTGTCGTGCGACATGGCGCGGAGCTCGGACGAAACGTTGGCCAGCAGCTCTTCCACTCGCTTGTTCTCGCTTGAAATCTCCTGCAGCTCGGTAGCCATGACCGAAAACATCGGTGACGGCGTCGGCTGTCGCGAGTTGATCATCGAGAGCGCCATCGAGACCGACTCGTTGAGCAGCGACTGGCGGAGTTCGGCGACCGAGTGGGACCGCATGCCAGCCGGCGAGACAAGAGCCGATGCGAGCGATGACGTCGCAAAGCGAGAGCCTAGTTGGGACGGAGGACCATGTGTCACCAGCGCGGATGTACTTGCGGTCTCGAACGCCAGAGTCTTGGCCGCCTTAGCTTCTTTGGCCGCCTGCATTGCAGCCGCGACTGCCGCCGGATCTTCAAACGTGCGTAGCGCAAGGAGCTCAGTGGCGATGGCGTGAAGAACAATGGGTTGGGGGATACCTTTGAGCTCGTGCTTGCCAAGTTCCGAGACTACGACCGAGGAGAGGAACTCGGGTGCGAGCTGGTCCAGGAGTGCATTCGAGACGACAACCTGTCCACCCTGCGCCACCGACTCGACTCTTGCCGCGAGATTGACCATTGGCCCAAAGTAGTCCATGCGCTTGGTGATCGGGTCGGGCGCATCCATCGGCTCACCGTAGTGGATGCCAATGCGGACCCGTAGGCCGCGGTAGATGACCCGTTCAATGCCGTCGTCGTCGGCCATCTCGACCGCCGACGCAGGATTCTCCAGCAGCTCGGGCGGCCAGTCGACCTCAAGCAGCTGCTCTTGGATGGCAAGCGCGGCCGCGACCGCGCAACGCGGCGACGAAAACGCGACCATGAACGCATCGCCCTCGGTCTTGACCTCGTACCCGCCAAACGACGCCAGAACTGACCGAATGAGCGCGTTGTGGAGGGTGAGCGCCTCGGACATGACCTGCGGGTTTGCGGCCCACTGCTTGGTCGACGACAGCACGTCGGTGAACATGAGCGCCACCGAGCCGGTTGGCGCCGGTTCGGTCGAGAGGCGCGCTGCCCGCGACTCTTCTTGGGCAAAGTGGAGCTGGGCGGTGAGGCGAGCAATGACTAGCTCGGTTGTCTGCGCTCGGCTTGCGGCAGCCTTGAGCGCGTCTGACAGTTTGGCTTGCATCACAAGCAGCTCGTCGATGCGAGCCTGCGCGGCTGCAACCGCCTCCTGCGACGCTGCCGACGACCGCTCCTCGACAGTGCCGTCTGACGCAGTATCAGTGGGCTCATTGTCATCCTCCTCGTTGTTAGCGCCAGCGCCAGCACTAGCACTAGCGCCAGCGGCTGCGGCTGCGGCGGCCGAAGCTGCTGCCGTCGCAATGGTTGCAGTCGTCGCGGTCCGCACCACGCGGAGCTCGGCCTCCAGCTCGGCGTTCCGCTCGTTGATGGCTGTGGCTGTGGCATGAGCATCGGCCAGCTCGTCGATGAGCGCGGTGCTTGCAGGAAGCAACGAGTCACGGACAAAGGCTAGCGACGAGACCCGGCGCGACCGAGCGGCGGCGAGCGCGTTAAGGACGGAACGCGAGGTCGGAGCGTTGTTAGAGGCGGCATCAGCGCGGGAGTTGGCGCCCGGGAAAAGCATCTTGAGCGAGTCTTCGAACGAGGTGTGGAGCCCACTGACGTCGAGCTTCGGGGTGGCCACCCCGGATGACGCGGTGAGGTCCAGCTCGTCGAGCTTGTCGGACGGCACTGCCGCACGGAGTGTCTTGACCTGCGTGGTCAATCGGGCGTTGATCAGCGCCAGCGTCTCGTTGCGCGAGCGGAGCGGCTCGACCTGGGCCTGGGCCAGAGCCAGCTCGTCCTCGACAGTGGCAACGACGGCATGCTGGTCGGCAAGCGCTTTGGAGAGCGCATCGATACGGGCGAGCGCGGCATCGCGCTCCGCAAGCGCGGCATCGCGGTCAGCGTCGGTCGCATCGTGGTCCTTGCGGAGCCGGAAGCACTCTTTGCGGGCCAGCTCGGAGGTCTCGCGCTCGTCGGCGAGTGCTGCTTGCAGGCCGGTAATGTCGGCGAGCAGGCTGTGCGAGGTCTCGTCGCCGGCAAACTTCTCGGCGCGCAGCGCGGCCAGCGCAGCCTGAGCTTGCACCCGCTGCTTGGTCTCATCGGCGAGCTGGCGTGCAAGATGCGCCGAGTTCTCCGCCGAGAGCGCAACGTCTGCGGTCCCAGCCTCGGCAGCCAGCTTGTACTGCTGGATGCGGTGGGTGAAGGCCGCGATAGCCTTGTTATGAGCCTCAACCAGAGCGCGGCTCTCCGCATGGACCTTGGCCAGTGCTGCTAGCCGTGATCGACAGACAGTGCGGCAGGTAGACACCACCGACCTCGCCTGCGCCGCTGCCAAGTCGGCCGCCGACCAGGCCAGCGAGGCCACAGACTGAGCGTGGGCAAGTCTGGCAAGCAGCTCCTCCTTCTCCCGTCGCAGCGACGCTGCTTGGTGGCTATGAGCAGAGCCGCCTTTGTCCCGCATGCGAGGTGCCGTGCCGTGTGACGAGTGTGAGAGGGGGGGTACTTGTCGGAGGGAGCTGGCGAACAGCGTCACCCCCCCCCCCCCCCCCCCCCCTTCTCTCTTCCTGCCCCTTTGTTCGTTCGTCGGTGTCTTTGGCGGGCTCGTTTGCGCCAAAACTCGCTCGCCGCCCTGCCCACTAGCACAGGCACCAACTACGAGGTGTGCAGCAGCTCTTTGTCCTGCACATGTACTCCTTGTCCGTATGTAGGTACATAGCTTTCATACGCATCTGAGCTTGCTGTGATCGCCTATGTATCGAGGAAAGACAAGGGGTGGCCGGCGGGCGGACAGGCTTTGATCGGCTAGCCTGGGGCCCAGACCTCCCGCACTCCCGGGACGCAGGGGCGGGGGGGGGGGGG